CTGATCAGATACCTTAAAATTGAGAAAATATCATGATCTGTGATCTGTTATGTATATTGATTCAACTTGATGATTATAATCAGCTGAATTACGACTTTTGACTGTGTCAATTGGATGTAATATACCTGATAATGGGCTCAATCAACCGCTCAGGTTTTACCTTTGTACGATGTTCTTCAATATTCTTTCAAGTGTTGTTGATTAAGTGTTTCTTTGGAATATATGAATGGATACATAATAGTGATTTGATGTATATGAATTTGTTACGCCTCGTCACATGTGGCTGCACGTTATTATGGCCCTCTTATCCACGCGGCCAAAAGCAACTGACCCATTCAAAGTATTGGAACCACCTCAGCAAAGCTCCACACGCGAGTGACGAAGCCAGAGAGAATAGTCCGAGGCCCGTCCCTTCCCCGAGGCTGAAGTTCTGAGGTGTGAACAGCCTCGAAGGAGTCCAAAGCCCCTTCATCTAGTGATGATCTGCATGAGGAAGATTTTAAAACTTATGTACAAAATCTTTTAGGAATGATTGATGGGGCATTTGTAATGAGTGTAACTGTCAAATCTTATCAATAAAATGACAACTCTGTGAAAACATTGAGTGCATCGCAGGCAGGTAAAAATTGATGCATATGATTAAATACTTGAATTAAGGAGATGAGGCCACGTGTATTCCTATCGAAGGGTCACCATTTTATTTGTAATGCTATAAATATTCCTAATGTAACATGAAGGGACTAATGCAAATCTACGCACATGAAGCTACTATCCATTTTCCTCTCTTGCTACATATACACTTGTTTTAGCTAAAAGATAGAAGATTTTGCTTCCTTAAACTATCAATGACTGGTGTTAATCTTGTATTCAATTTGAAGATATATTGCCGGATCTCGACCGCATCTGTATTGTGTTATAACGTACCTCCCACATCCGGATTCATTGTATTGTTGACTAACAATCTGTCTATACCTGTTGGAATTTGTGTTTGTGCATACGAGTGGGACCGATATCTGTTGTCCACATAGCCCCAATGAAAAACATGATCAACATAATTGAAGCTCGTTATCTTTTCTAATTAGACAGATAGTTATCCCTGTTTTTGTGCCATCGTTATGTGAGATTCCATAATTCTCGACAGCATATTATAAATACTGCTAAAATAAGCTACAATGATTATATTCCATAAATAAATAAATTATTTCAAAGTAATTTATTTAACAAAAGAATGATGAATAGTCCATTAGAATTGAGGGAAGAATCCAATTTACGAGTTTTTGTATGTTAATTTCTGAATGCAATATAAAAAAATTGCACTCGATATTCAGGATTTTGATGTAATCTGTAATGTCATGGCAGATGAAATAGTCATCACAAAATTGTACATTGATATGAAATTAGCTTAAAACCCACGCTACAATTCATATAAAGGACTAGTCAAGGTCAACATTTCATTATATAAAATGAATGATTGTTCCAAAATCCAAAATGGGTCTATCTTTGATACTGAAAAGAAACTCAACTTGTTCGAAAAATTCACCCAAGTGCAAATTAACAAATATTACGGACAAAACTTCTACCGCGTTGTGGAATCGTCTGTAGTGGTGATTAATACTGTGATGTATGAAATTAGATTAGAACCCACGCTACAATTCATATAAAGGACTAGTCAAAGTCAACATTCCATAATGTAAAATGAGTGATTGTTCCAAAATCCAAAAAGGGTCTATCTTTGATAACGAACAGAAACCCAATTTATTCGAAATATTCACCCAAAAGCAAATTAACAACTATTACCGACAAAACTTCCAAAAAGAAAATGGAAAACTCCATTTTTTTATTGTATTAAATGCATTTCAGAACGCATACATCTTTGACCTTGAGGGACTTCTACCGTGTTGTGGAATCGTCTGTAGTTGTGATTAATACTGTGATGTATGAAATTAGATTAAAACCCACGCTACAATTCATATAAATGACTGGTCAAAGTCAACATTCCATAATGTAAAATGAGTGATTGTTCCAAAATCCAAAAAATGTCTATCTTTGATACACCCAATTTGTTCGAAATATTCACCCAAAAGCAAATTAACAAATACCACCGACAAAACTTCCAAAAGGACAAAAGGGAAAGCTCCGTCATTTTTTTAATTGTATTATATGCATTTTAGACCGCATACATTTTTGACACTAAGGGACTTCTACCGTGTTATGGAATCATCTGTAGTGGTGATTAATACTGTGATATATGACAAAACACGCTTAGAACTAAGTTTTTTTTTTTTTTTTGCCTGTATTGACCTTCGCGCACAAAAAATAAATAAATAAATAAATAAAGGTGATTTTTAGGCAATCAAACGTTGCCATGTGTCACAAAGGATTGATAATCTGATGAAGATTGGAGATTGATAAAGACTCATTACTGAAGAAATTGTAGGGCTTGAAAATGAAGGTGAAATAAGAGGAGATATTTTGTGCGTTTAGTGGGGATGTGNAGAAATGTGGTTAAAAAGTAAAGAAAAAATTTAAATTTACGGGTAAAATTATTTTATTAAAAAAGTATGATTAAAAATAAATTTAAAAAGTAAAATGAGGCTCAAAATGGACTAATAAATATCTTCTAGAATAGGTTGTTTTCTGGGGTGGATCTCAACTAATCACTGGTTTTGTTTTGACCGTGGAGTCACTGTCACCGAACAAACCCCAAATTAACAAACAATTATTAAAAAATAACAT